TGACAAGGCTGATGGCATCGAGAGTAGATCGGCCTCTCCGAAAACCTTTCTGGTTGCCGGCTAACAGTGACTCAACTGTTGCTTCTATCCTTCTATGAATGATGCGTTCGAGAATCTTTCCAGTAGTATCGAACATTGAGAGGGGACGATAAAATGAAGGTTTATCCGGCGGTTCATGCTGCTTCCACTTGGCAGGGAAGGTTCCTTCTTTGAGACACTCGTTGTACACGTCCAGGAACAGCGCAGGCATTCTCCGGATGGCCGCTTTCAGCATAGTGTTGGGGATTCCATCTAGGCCAGGAGCCTTGGTGTTTCCCACTCTGCTGCAGGCCTCCATCAGTTCCCCTTCGGTGATTGGTGGAATGGTCTCCTCTTCTTCGTATTCGGTGGTACGGTGGAGTTCCGGTTGTTGTGGGAACAGCACCGTGACGATTTTCTTCAAGAGTTCAGGGCAAGTTGGCGATGGCATTGGTTGGCCTTCAAGCCGCGTCATCACCGCCTTGTATGGCCTGCCCCACGGATCCCCTTCAACTTCTGCAAGGAGTTCATTCCAGGATTGCCTCTTGCTGGACTTGATAGCCTTGCTGAGCTTCTGGCGTGCTTCCTTGTATTTCAGCCATGTCTCTCCGTAATTGGCTTCTTTCGGGCTCGCTGTGACGATCTCCTCGCTTTATTACACTCCTTACTCAGAGTGACGATGGTATCATTCCACCAATACATCGCCGGGCGCCGACTGTTGACCCGCTTTCTGGCCATGTTGGCGTCACAGGCTTCCGTGATCCTTCTTATGAGGTCGTCCGCCTTTTCCGTAGCATGCCATTGATCAGATCGTCACCTAGTGCAATTAGGTATGAGCTAAAATCGAAGGTGCTCACTTTCCAGCCAATTATGTTTGTCTTTTTAGGCGCTGACTTGATCCTCCGGCTGGTAGATAGCTTCCAGAGTATCGGGCGATGGTCGCTGGTGGTGTAGCTGTTGGTTACCCTCTATGAGCAGTTTCCCCTTGCAAGGTTGCTGCTCACGAATGTAAGATCTACAATCGAGCTCGCCTTTCCCCTCATGAAGGTCGGTTCGTTGCCGTTGTTCAGAAGGACAATGTTGAGCAATGTCGAGCCATGTCGGCTTCGAGCATGGCTTGTCCCTTATTGTTTATTTTCTTACTTCCCCAATCGACTGCCCAGGCATTGAAGTCCTCGGCTATTGCCGCGGAAAAGTGCTGCTTCGCATGCTCAGTCAGTCTGTCCAGGAAATCCGTAAACTCGTCAATCGAGAGACTAGGTGGGGCGTAGCAACTGTAGAAGTAAATTCCATCAATCTTCGTCTTCACAAAACCATTTTCATTACTACAAGGCACAGTCTGGAAAGGGTAGCTCCCACAAGACCAGATGACTGCCTTTCTACTAGCGTTGGTAACCCAGGGTGGGGTGCCAAGATGTCTATATGGCTCCGAGACCATGACACTGTCAGACTTCAACTCCCGCACAGCCTGCATGAGCAGATCGTGTGCGGCCTCACAGTGGTTGAGGTTGAGTTGTATCACTTTCATCGTTGTTTATTGATCAGCTTCTAAATGTGGACACAGTTCTCCGTGTTGCCTTTCTCCATGCACAAGGCGCATCGAGGCTCCTTCTTAGTCTGTAGCCTTGTGGTTTGCGTCTGAGCATTTAGCGCCGAGTTTGGAACGGTCGATCTTACTCCTGCATTTAGTGGCGAGATGTCCGTAGTGCCAGCACTTGAAACACTTCATTGGTCTCTCCACTTTTCTTATGCGGCAATTTACCCAGCCTATCTTGATCTTCTCGTGCTCTCCCAAGATCTTTTTCGCTGTAGTTGCTGCAAGTATTACAGAAGGCACCTGGGTTCTGGTATCTGCACCTATCTTGTATTTCTTTCCGGCTGCTTCTTTCATAGCTTGAAGCACGTCTTCCTTCGTCGTCGTCTCGTCGAGGTCATTGATCTCGAGATCTACTTGTGGTCCTTTACTGAGCACCTCGGCCTGATCCCCGAGGAGGTCGGTGACGGTTTTGTGTAGCTGGGGAGCTCCATCAGTAGATTTCCTGCTCATTATAATAAGCATATCTCCGGTAGTCATCCTGCGGATCTTGTCAACGCATGCACGGGCCTGATCTATGGGACGTCTCGTTTGACTCGAATAAGGATCTCCGAGTACTTGTCCTTGTCCTTGGGACGGATAATCAGCGCATCAGGTCTAAGCGGTGGTTTTCAGGGTAGCTTCTTCCCATTTTCCTTCTTTTTCATACGGGGCGGCTCCTGAGGCTGTTCGTCTAGGAGCCTCTCCCTTCTTCCCCGCTTCTTGTTTTTCACGTATACCCAGTCCGGTGATTTGGCAGGTGACTTCGCCGGTCGGACTATCTTGTCAGCTAGCTCCTGCTGCTTCAATTTCTTCAATTTTTGGGCTGTCATCTTAGGTGAACCGTTCGAACGCTTCCTGCGTTTTACCTTACGAACGTCTCGAACATTTTGGGTGTCCTGCGAGGCCTCCATCTCCCGAGTCCTCTATCTCCAAATCCTTCACTGTTGTTTCGGAGTCCGTCCGTAAGCGCTGTAGCGGTGGCGCTACTAGCTGTTGAACCGGCGTAGCATCAGAAAACTGAGTCCGAGTGCGTTCTCTCGCCAGTCTCTCGAGCTTTTTAAAGGCGCTGCCAATAGAAGCCGACTTGAATTTAATCTCCTTGTAGACATTCATCTTGGGTTGGACAAACTCATTCAAATCTGCGTTAAGCTTATTCATCTGTGCCCATGCTAGAGAGCATTCTGTCTCCTCCTGAGTCTGTGACTCTACCCCACTTGTAGCATTTGAGGCCAAGTAGTTCACCGGTGGAGAGGGTGATGGTAGGCTCATCTCACATACCGTGGAGCCAGCATCAGCCACCAGGACTTTCACCCGATCAGAAGTGATGGCGGGATTTCCTTTCTCAGGGATACCCGCATAGAAAGTTTGTGTTGTAATGTCACTCATCATTATTATTGTAAGCTGACGAAGGGAGCTCACCCTATTCTCTTTGCTTAGGCTGTTGGAGGGAGCCTATCCTGCACGCCACTTTTAGAGTTGGGTTTCTGCACCAAGATGTCCTGAGCAGGTCAGATCTCAGTTTGAACTGCTCCTTGGTTGGGATGTATCCCTCAAGCCCCTTCACCAACAAAAAAGTCCTGCAGTTCCCAGGAGGGGTGTGTGTGTGTGTGTTGGGGGGGTATGTATGTACGCAAAATTGTTCATCAACGATTTCTCATGAACCAATGATGTGGTCGAGGTAATATATGACGCAATCGAAGTGTCTCCACCTAACTTATACCTGAGTAGATTTTGGAGAAAATCAATCCAGTGGTTCTCCAGTTTCCCCAGGAAAACGAGTTTTTTTCCAAGAAAATACATAAACCGGGAAGTTGTTGGTTCGAACCGTCAAGGGTTATACCCATTGCATTTTGCACCATCGTACGACGCGTAATGAATTAGTCGCACCTAAAATATGAGCGCGCTTCAGCGCGCGACCAACAGAAGTTCTACTAGTTTATATATTGAATTCTTCAACGGCGGTATCAGCTACGCAGGGGCCGTGACTGTGACGCTTCACGATTGTAGTGATGAAAATCGACAATACTTATATTTACTAAGTTGATGAATCACGATTATTAATAACCTGCAGCAATTTATCCATCCTGTACTTAGGCAAAACGCAGATTGGAAAAACTAAGGCGGTTATTCCAATGTACACCGGAAGGCCCAGATTGAGATTGACCCTTATCAATACGCTTACTTACGAAAAGTCCATGTCCAACTCATGTACGTTAGAGGTACTTTGAGCTACACGTCAAATCCAGGCTAGGTGACCCTCCCTCCCGCCAGTTAAAGGTTAGGTACACGTTGAATGCGCGTTAGAGACACTTCAAGGCACGCGTTACGTGCACGTTAGTGAGACTTCAAAACACACGTTATGTGCACGCTAACGTGTAAAGCTTAGATACGCACATCGCCCATATGCAAGTTACAAACACTTCAAGGTACACGTTAAGTGCACGCTAAAGTGTGATCGTTAGGTACCCAAATCGTCTATATACCCTCATCGCACATGTTACGTGCACGTTAATGAAACTTTAAGGTACACGTTAAGTGCACTTTACAGACACTTCAAGGTACACGTCAAATCCACGCTAATGTGTGAACGTTAGGCACTCAAATCATCCATATGCCTCTAACGCACACGTTACATGCACGTTAGTGAAACTTTAAGGTACACGTTAAGCACACGTTAAAGACGCTTCAAGGTACACCTCAAATCCACGCTAAAGTGTGAACTTTAAGTAACCAAATCATCCATATGCCTCTAATGCACACGTTATGTGCACGTTAGTGAAACTTCAAGGTACACGTTAAATGCACGTTAGAGACACTTCAAGGTGCACGTCAAATCCACGCTAAAGTATGAACGTTAGATACCCAAATTCGTCCATGTACCTCTAACGTACACGTTAAATGTACGTTAGAGGCACTCTAAGGTACACGTCAAATCTACACAAAATAACTCATCACTTACCTTGGTATCAACGTTGTGTACATGAATAGTCCTCGTCCCGCCCGTCCACGTTAAGTGCATGTTAAAGTCACGTCGAAATTAAAGTCATTGAAAACAAAAGGCACGTTAAGTACACGGTAAAATCACTTTAGAATTAAAATCGTTTAATGACACACAAAAGGCACATGGAAAATTTAGTCAACTTTATTAAGTAGCGTCTCTTCTAGGGAATTTTTTAAGGGAATAAGTACCTTTAACGTAGATTTGACGTGCCCTTAACGTGCTTTCAACGTATATATTTTTTCCACGTGCCTTTTACGTGTACGTAAGGGACACGTTAAAGGCACGTTATTTCCACGTCATGTACAAATAGCCATAGCGTTTCCGAAAACCTCCGCCAAGAAGTCTGCACGTCAATTTTTGAAGAAAAAATACTTGATGTATGATTTTATTTCATATTCATAATACCTGAATGGGTTTGAGATCAGGGTTGAAGTTCTGGCTATAATTTTCATGGATGTATCTTTTCTGCCAATCCAATTTGTTAGTAGAAATCTCGTACATGTCCGGATTCTTGCGTCTTAGGTCGTAAGTATCTGGGTCGACTAAGTGGCCGAATTTGAAGCGATTGTTGATATACATGAAAATATCTCTATGACGATTAGTCATAGCAAATGCCATATCTGGTTCAGTTCCTTCGATAGCGTAGACTGGACGAGTTTCTGGATTTCTGAGCAGTGTCACGTTCACGAGATAGCAATTTGTGATGTATGGAACATTCCATAAACCCCTAATGAACATATTTTCTTGTTAGTAGTGCGTAGGACTCCACTTTTTCGCCCACACGTGTAACACATCCTATTTTTTGTAATACCTGTCCCGCTCACTTTCCGGGGGTGCAGAGTGTAAAGTTGAAAATCCTAGGTAAAGTCAATTCCGAGTGCGTAAAGCGTAGCTTTAAGTACAAGAACTTACTTTATGGATGACTTCTGAACTTTACGCAAGTCGTGCGGAAAACAAACACTTTATGCCCGCTCGAACACCCCGAAAAGTGAACTGTTCAGGCAAGTATTGCAAAAAAATATTATTCCTATGGGCCATCTTGTCAAATAACATATGCTTATCTGGTCTAAAAATTTTCGATATTTTTTTTTAGCCTTTTTGCGCTACTTGTGTATAGAAACAACCATTTTTAACACTGCTGCTACGTTCACCTCATAACGAAAAGTGCCTTTTCGTTTACTCGTAAACGAAAAGTAAACGAAAAATCTTTTCATGATGTTACGTTCACTGAGTGATCACTGTCAAAAAATATTGTTCGATACATGTGAGACCGGAATTTTCAGCTCGAGTGATTGGCAACTTTACACTCGCGAAAATTACGTCTCATTCATATCGGAATATACTAGTTCGTCACTCGGCCAAAAACCACTTTTCTGACTCGTGTGATTGCATTCCTCGGCCTGCAACCCTCCCACTCATCAGAAAAGTTTTTTTCAGAGCACTGTGCGTAAAACGTCGTTTTACAGATAGTGTGATGAAAACAACATTTCTCAACTGAAACAGTTCCCAAATTTGAATTGAAGAGGCTCTGCGGTCTTGAGCGATTTCATCTAAAAATATTCTTCAAATTTATCTGAAAATGTTGTTCTGCAAATAATAGATGACTAATAAAAAACTGGAGACCATACTTTTCGATCGGAAAATTTTTGAATTTTTCAAAACTGATGGTGCGCAAAACCCCACTTTCCATAAATTGTGATGAAAAGTAGGGTTCGGCACTCGCCTTTGGCCAGCGCTACACATCTCCCACAGATCAAAAAACAGTTTTGTGCACTTGTATCAAAATACACTATTTCCAAAAAATTATGAGATTAAAACGAAAAAGTGATGAACAGGCCTAAATCGACGTTATGAGTTTCATTTTCCGTTTTCACCATAAAGTTGAGGAGAGGGATCAAAATAACCATTATTTTTTAAAAATTGAGTAACTTTCTGATCAAGAAACCTGTTTGTCATTTTTTTCAGGAACTTGATAATGTTACATTGGACTGAACAATTCGTTACTTGAAGCATCGGACCTCTACTAGTCAAGAAATCTCCTTTATATGCCTAAGTATTCGAATCAAACGAATAAGAAATTAGTTGATATTTGATAGAGTAGCCCATATATTTGTTTTAAAATTTGAGGTGTTAGATTTTATAATGACTATTTTCAACAATGATATTCATCATTCTTGAAAATAGTAGTAGTTATGTAATGCCGATTCTGGGGCAAGGATCTAGCGGAGACCTGGTCAGAGGGCCCTCGCGAGGGGCCGGGTTAATGAATTCGCGGATTACGGCGAAATTCGCGGTCCAATCAGCGGGTCGCGGTTTAATTCGCAGTTTAATTCGCGGTTTGATTCACGAGTGAATTAATCAATTCCCGGTTTTTTTCGATCAAATGGGGCTCTATTGACGACTTGTCAATCCACCCCCACGAGGGAGTGGGCGAAAGGGTTGATTACTTCGCGGGTCACCGTGTAATTCGTGGTGGGATCCGAGGGTCGCAGTTTAATGCACGGATCGATTAATTAATTCGCGGGCCAATTAACTTAATTCGCGGTTTTCCAATCAAATAGGACTCTATCGACGACTTTGTCAATGCACCTCCGTGAAAAGGTTGATTAATTCGCGGGTCTCAATTTAATTAACGGTCTGGTTCATGAGTTAATCAATTAATTAATTCGCGGTTGATTTCGTAAATAGCGGTGTTATTCGCGGGTTGCGGTTTGATTCACGGTTTAATCCGCGGATTTATTAATTAATTCACGGTTTTGGACTCCGAGACGCTCTATCGACAACCTAGTTAATGTAATTAACACAAGAAAGTGTATTGATTAATTAATTAATAATTAATTAATTAATTAATCAATCCATCAGTTATGAAATTCATTAGCGGACAGCTGGTGAAAGGGCCATGCGAGGGGGCTGGGTGGGTAAAAGGCTTAATTAATCCGCGGTTGATTACGTAATTCGCTGTGTCATCCGCGGGTCGCAGTTTGATTCGCAGATTAATTCCGTAGATCACGGCTAAATTCGAGAGTCGATTAATTAATTAATCAATTAGTATACCCGAACTTCTTAGTACACTGCCGCGAGGGGTGAAAGGGTTAACTAATTCGCTGTTTTAGTTTGCTGTAGAAATCATAGAAAGGGGTCTTCTTCAAACATTGACACCTGGCTCCACTTGACATTTCCAGACATGTCTGAATTTGAGTTTCCCGGTACTTTCTCGTTTGCCGCTCCCCTTCGTGTGAAATTGTCGTTGATAACGATATCAATATATAAATATTTATTTTAAAAAACATTTTCCTGACATGTCTGAACTTCAATTTTCCCGTACTTTCTTGTTTGCCACTCCCCTCCATGGGAAATCATTGTTAATAATGATATCAATATGTAAATATTTATTTTAAAGAGAAGGGTTCAGAAGGGAAGGGAGTAGGTATATCTGCAAAGGTAGAGGATCAGTCATCCAAAAACTTAGGTACCCCTACCAATTTGGCATAGTCCTCGACAAATTGTACACGTTGTAGTAGGAGGAGTTTCCGAAAAATCTTCATCTGCTGCAAACTGATAAGGATGGAAAATGCATTGGAAGATGTCCGAACGCAATGTTTTGTTTACATAGACTTTCTCGGTTTACCTGGGAACGCACGTGTACTCACATCCCTAAGAACATGATGTTTGACAAACTGGAGCAGAGTATTCGGAGCCTTTAATGTCTTATCGCACCGCAAAGATGAAATGTGATCGAGTACATTTTTCAGATATTTTTTTTCCCACGAACAAAAAGTGTTGCTATTTTGTTAATAATTTTCCATGAGTCACACGATTCTTTTTCAACCAATCACGTGACATTTTCCAGAGGGTTTGAGCATAGGCACACCCACATGTGCATTTATATAAACAAATTTCACCTTGGTTTTCTGCTAGTTCCTTAGTGCCTTTATCGTAAACAACATGGATCCTAACACGTGTAAAAGATTATTGAGGCCATTGGAGGATGCGTATTAAATAGTGAAAACGAATAGGAGACCCAGGGAAATTCGAAAGAAATTAATACATTATTGAAGAAGAGTACGAGTCATAGTGAGAAAAGACGTTTAACTCACATGTTAGGACGACTGAAAGCGGTCTATACAAGGTTCAGAAACTTGGAAGTGATAGGAGGAGACTTAAGGGGTAATTTAACGAATAGACTCCGATGGCAGGACTTACAAATTGTTTTTGATGGTCGTATGAGAACCGGTGTAATTATTAACGTGAAAAATCCAGACACCCAAATTTTTAGATAATGCTAGACTAATGCTCTGTGTACGTTTGAAAAATGCATTGAAACAGGAAGGAAGTTTGAAAGTGAATGTAGTATTAACATGTAAATATGAAATTGATCGAAATGAACATCTTATTGAAGAAGAGAAATATTCCAATACAAAAATTGAAATAATTCTTGATTCAACTGATATTAGGCAGTGGTTTGATGAACACATAAGATAAAAACTTCTTGTGAAAGCAGATGAGTTCCAGGAAAAAGACTCTGGCTGGAAATTAGTTGACGTCATCAATTTAGAAGTGAATATGAATAAATATAATCCATTGCGGGGACGATCTAGCTTCGTTGAACTACCTGAATGTTCAGAATAAAGACGAGGCCTATTGCTTTCTATAGTCTATCATGGCCGTTCGTTGCAACGTTCAAGACAAGAAACGACCTAACTCATACCGCCCTTTCAGTACTATCATGAAAAGCTTTGGTAACTTCAATTACCCCATGGCATTAAAAGACATTCCAAAGTTTGAGAAAATGAATGAATTGTCGATTAATGTATATGGAATTGATAGTGACGAAGAATGAGAAAAAAAAGGAATTGTACCACTTTACTTGAGTAGAAATCCTCCAACCGCACTGCATGAGGAAGGAAAAACGATTCACCTTCTCATGATTGAAAAAGAAGACATCCTCGATGGTGAAGAGGAAAGAATTCATCACTACACATGGATCTCGAATTTATCTCGCTTAATTGGTGCACAAATTTCAAAAGCTGAACATAAAACACTCATATGTGACAGGTGTTTGTGTCACTTTTTCAAGAAAGAGGCCTACACTAAGCATAGGCTCGATTGTGTGTCAATCAACAAGTGTCGAATGATTTTTCCCCATAGTTCTGAAAAAATTTAAAATTTCAAAATTTCAAAAACCAACTGAATGTTCCCTATGTTGTATATGCTGATACTGAGTGTCTATTGAAAAAAGTACTCAATAACAATGATCAAAACACTAAAATATATCAAAATCACGTGCCATTCAGTGTTGCATTTTATGTGAAATGTAGCTATGATGACTCAAAATCGGAACTTTTTATTTATCTTGGGAAAGACTGCATACAGTGGTTCATTGAGCAGTTACGTCTTTTAGCGATAAAAGTCGATTCTGAATTACAGCGAAATGAGCCGATGAACTTGACTTTTGAAATGGAGCGAGCATTTAATGCAGCTAAAAATTGTCATGTTTGTGGCAGAGCATTCACCGAAAAAGCAGTGAAACATCGGGAGCATTACCACTTCACAGGCAAATATCGTGGTGCTGCTCGTCCCGGTTATAATCTGAATTACACGGAATCGTGTGTAATCCCAGTAGTTTTTCACAACTTGTCAAGTTATGATTCACATTTTTTTATTAAATCTCTTGCGAAATAATTCAAGGCTCAGTGACATTATTCCCAATTAATAAAGAGAAATACATTTCCTTTACG